CTGTCTGTCTGTGTTGGTTGCTGGTGATTGTTGCAGATCCTAGCAAGTGCCCCTTTTCAGCCACTCACTAGTACTGTTGTGAGGGAAATCCAAGCCTCTTTCGCTCTAGATTCCTGTGTGTTTTAAGCCCCTGGTGTATGAATGGAGTCAAGACATTTCTGGGTCCCTAGGCACATTTTTAGGACTCAGACCTTCCATCTGGCACCCCCTTGTGATCTGGAACTTGCTGTCCAGTTGCCTAATCCCTCTGGGTCCAGTGATGACCCCTCAAGCTACCTTGTAGTTAAACACACCCTCTCCAAGAACTCCACCCCAAGGGTGAAGTTTCTAGTTTCTAGTTTAACTCTCTAAGGTGAATGCAGCGCTTGTGAAGCAGTTAACATGCACACAGAGTCTGCACGTCTAACACGTTTATTCTTTTATACGTGATCATGTAAAACACTATTGTGTAGCTCAGACAAAATAAACACTAAATTCACGTCTCTGTCTCAGTTTCCTCATCACTCCAGGGCATTCTTTTGGGCAGGGGTCAGAGTCCCAGGGGTTTTCAGAGGCCTTGGGGCCATCTGGGCTTAGGAAAGTGGTCAGGGCACCTTGCCCCATGAGGCTGCTACATCCTGGGTGACCTTGCTCTCTCCTTCCTCTTGCTTCTTCCTCCTGTCTGGCTGTCATATTCCCGTGTGGCTTGCTTTTTAAACCCTGCTGGCTTCCTTTGTTCTACCTTTTAGGTAACTTTCTACTGCTCCTTCCTTCCTTAGTTCTTCCACTCTTCAGGGGATTGAGCCAAAACTGGTTTTGTAAAGATGCAGCTCACTCATTGTACCTGACTAGAGTCACTGAGTCCTAAGCACCCCCATTGTATCAGTCTGGTGTGTACCCACCAGCAGTGGTGGATCCACATACATATAGATCAGGGGTCTCCAAACTACGGCCCGTAAGCCGGATCCGGCCCCGGGCTTCCATTTGTCCGGCCCTCCAACCAACAGCAAACAGCTGAGTAGGCATGAGCAGGCAGGGGGAGGGGCTGCCAGCAGCAGCTCACATGGGGCAGCAGCTGAGCTGAGCTGAGCTGTGCAGAGGGGTGAGTGCCCCCGGGAGCCAGTGTCCCCCCCCCCCCCAAAAGAGGAGCCAACATAAGGGAGAGTCATTGCTGCAGCCGAGCAGGCACGGACCCCTGCCTTAGGAGTAAAAATACAAGCCAGATGCTTAATTACATCTCCAATAAATGGAGTAAAGAAGATGGAAATTAACAATTTCATAATGGTTAAATTTTAACTACATCACTAATAGAAATAAACAGTATTTGTATGATACAAATGTGTGAGTTTTTAGAAATAAAATTTAAAAAAATGTGAAATGATTTTTAATGTATTGACAAATATTTTGTGTGATTTCACAGTACCTGCATCGATTAACTTTTATACCTGATTTAGAATTTAATGCAACTCTGACACAGTAGAATAGTGTTGTTTTTTTAACGATTTGCATATATTTGCATATATTTGATTTCTTTCACAGTCGCTTCGGCCTGCGAAGCCCCTTCAAAAATCTAATATGGCCCTCGTCTCATAAAGTTTGGAGACCCCTGATACAGTCTTGTGATACAGCAGTTTTTCCTAAATCAACTTCACAATACCAACCAGAACTCTTAAATTGTACAGGCATAATAGCCCCAGTACTTCACAGTGACTAACCATCCAACAAAACCCTCCAGTAATGTGCTTAATGTCAAGCATGCAGATAGTCCGGTTTATTTCAGTAGGCCTATTCATATGCTTAAAATTAGGCAGGTACATAAGTGGTTTAATGGATTAGGACCATAGAAACATGAACTGTGAGACTGAGGTTTTATATGTGTGGGGCCAATGTGTTATTTCATTGTTTGTATAATAAACTAGTAAAATGTAATTAAAGTGTATGGAATTGCTCTCTAAACCATACATTTTATCTTGTACCTGTAAATTTGTTCAAAGCATGGAGATGGCTTGGTTTAGGAGATTTAGCTCGCACTGTGAAAGCCAGGAACTCCTGAGTTCTAATCCTGCCTCAGTCACTGACTGCTTTTGTGACCTTGGTCAACTCACTCAATTGCTTTGTGCCTTTTTGTACTCCTGTAATATTGCATTATTACTTACCTGTCTGCCTTGCTGGTTGTTGTGGTGATTTAGTTTAAAGTTTATATGGTTTGAAATTTCAAAGCGTTGACTAAATGCTGCTGCTGCTGCTTCTGTTTCTGCTTTGTTTGCTTGTAGTACCACAAATCATCATGCAGGTGGTATTCACATCCCAACATAGCTGACAAGTGCTTTTTTGTCTTTTGAAGGATGGAAATAGTGTTTGTGCAAAAGTGCATGGTATTCTTTTAATATTCAAGAGAAGAGACTGACAATTATATAAATAGGGTCCAGTCCTGCTTTCATTGAAGTTAATGGCAAAACTCACATCCACTTCAATGGAGCAGGATCAGGTACATAGCCTTTACGCTTAGGATACTGAAGGCAAATAGTGTCACAGAGTGTTAAATAAATCCATCAAAGTTTGTAAAGTGCATTGAGATCTTCAGATGGAAGACATGTTATGCCCATAGTATTACTAATGATTATTATTAACAGATACTTTAGCTAATATTTTTATACCCTGCACAGACATTGTTACGGTACTGGCAAGGAAAAGGAGCAGCTTGAGTAGAAATGAAACTGTCTAGTACAGGAGTCTGTTTTTCTAACCTGCTTATTTTAAATAATATGAACAAGCAGATATTCATGCAAACATTCTACATTCTGTGTCCATTTTGCTGTCTTATGTATGTATTGCCTAGTGCTGTAGAAATCAGTCTTGACATTAATTATTTTAAGCTCTGTGGAAGCACTTGGAACACATTTGGTGCTATATAATAATTTCCCAATGAAAGAGCATCATTGCTTACATGTCCCCACTGTGTAGTTTCACTGATTTAGGAACTGAAATTATTTCCCTTGTCTTATCAGATAAAATGAATATTCTGCTACTACATTTATACCAAAAGTCTTAATTTGCTTTTATGAATTACCTTTTTAAAATATTTTAAGGTACAGTCATATCAGTTTATATTATACCAGGACTTGGTGCCTAGATGTTAGTTATCAAGTTATGGAACATAACTGGGCATCGTAGGAATATGTAAAGTAGATAGAAGCTATGCTGGGCAGTTCTGTATTTTGATTTATAATAAGAAAAAGTGGAAAGTTGGACCAGAAATCCAGAAAGAAATATTTCCTTCAGCAGATGCTGAGAATGTTTTTCACTCCCAAGCAAAGCAGAAGGTATTCTAATCCCTAAATAAACGGTGGGGCCATCAAATTCCTTTTGCACAAAAACTCTTGCACGCTATTAGTCTCAGTGAGCATGCCCAAACTCAACTAATGTTTTTAATACTGTATAATCTGGCTTCTTTTCTCAAAAACTAGTAGACCATAACTATATTTTATATATCAAGTGACATTTTTCCTGCTCCTTATTCAGATACTAATTCAACTCCTCATTGATGATTTCTATCCATTATGTTGATATAAGCTATTTTGAAAACATGCTAGAAGAATCCTATAGAAGTAGATGATAAGGCTATCCTCCAGTCTGCCTTTGCAAAACTCCACCTGAAGACAAATAATACTAAAATCTTGCAAAATTCTCGGTACCTACTTGAAAATCCTGAGTGCCCGCAATTTCCACTGAAATCAACATATGTTTTCCCCACATAAGACCAACTGCTCTAGTCCCAACAGTCCCTGGCACTCTTTTATTATTCTTTTGTCTTTCTGTGAAGCAGTTTTTTTATGA